TCCCAATCTATAGCAGCCCAGCTTCTCCCTGGAGTCATTTCTTCCTTTGGGAGGGAGTTTTCCAGCCCAGTGGCGCTGCCTGTCTCCCACCTACCCTGGCCTGCATGCAGTGCTAAGCCCAGGCTGGGTCTGGTGCTGATAACACATTCTTTCAACAGGAAGTGCCTCCATTTTCAGTTGTCTGTGGGAGGGTGGAGGGCAGATAAGCTGTGAATGGAAACACAGAACAGATTTCTGCTCCACCCTCATATTGCACTTTGATCGGGAGGGAGCAAGGCCCTCTGCCTGGCCCGAGCTGCCTGCCCAGCCTCGGGAGGAAGGATGGGTCAGCTGCTGGGCATTCCGTAGAGCTCTTCTCTACTTTTGTTCAGGAACATTTGTTTAGGTTTGATTAGGTTTGTGGTGTGTCTGCTTTTGCTATGTTGAGATGTCTGCCATCTGAAGTCCTTTGAAGGGTTTAATTAGATGTGGAAAAACACTGACCAACTGAAATTCTTACATTTTTTTTTACTGTGTGTGTGTGTGTGTGTGTGTGTGTATGTGTACTGGCTGCAGAGCATAACGAGCCAGGTTTCTTCAGGAGAGTTGCTGTAGTAACATAGACCAGTTCTGATCCCATGTTCCTCTGATGCATGGATGTAGTGTTTTCCGTGTTTTGACTTGGCTGCAGTGTGTTTCACATGTGCATACTTAGCCAGTTCCCACATGGAGAGATTTCAGGGGTTCCTGGGGCAGCTTCTGTCACTCCATTCCCTCTGTGAGTCCCCTCACTCTGATTCCTCCCTAGTTTTTCAAGTTAGTTTATGACCCTGCCCTGGTTGGGTTGACCCTTAAGTGCTTATGCATATTTCTGGTACGAATATCATTTAATTTTCCCTGAAGTTAGATTGTCTTAGCTGCATGTGATGGTACATGCCTAAATCCCAGCAAGTCAGAAGGCTGAGGCAGGAGGATTGCAAGTTTGAGGCCAGCCTCAGCAATTTACAAAGCCTGAAGCAATTTAGTGAGACTCCTGACTCAGAATAAAGAAAATAAAAAGTACTGGCGATGTAGCTCAGTGCCTTGGTACAAAAACAAAACAAAACAAAACAAAAAACCCAAACAAACAAGCAAAACAAAAACAACAAAAAAAACCTCCAAGATAAGGTAAGCCGTAGATTTGGCTCCCTAGTTGTTGTGCCTCCCGCTGCTCAGCCTCTAGAGCCGCTGGGATTACAGGCTCCTGGCACTGCTGCTCATGGATTCCCTTGTAGTACTTGACGCTTGTGCATGGGACAAAGAATTCATATCCTGCTGTTTTTCATTTAACATTCTATGATTGGATTTTTCCATTTTGTTACATGATCTTATAATTTTTAATAATTGCATAATCGTTCATTGAGAGTGTACCCTGCTTTTCCAAATCATTTCCATGTTATTAGACATTAGATTGTGTCCATGGCTTCCACTACCAGGAGAAGCCTGGCAGTGGCTGGCTTCCTTTGTGGAGATTTTCCTTTCTCTTAAATGATTTCCTTATAAGGGATTTCCATAAGTGAAGTTACAGGGTTAAGCCGTGTTTAACTTCTTGATGGCCCTGGGCACTACTGCTAACTGCCACCCTCTGTAAGGCTTGTACCAGACTCTATAGCCCCACTAGCTATGGACAAGGGGACTGGGGTACTCACCTTACAGTAATATTTCACATTTAAATATTATTATATCATCATTTTAAGGTTATCAAGTCATGGACACAAGTTCTCTTTCCATTTTCCCCCCCAATTCTGGGCATCCAACCCAGGGCCTTGAGCGTGCTAGAAAAACTCTCTACCACTGAGCTATAGCCCCAGAGATCACTCACATAATTTGTGGTTTGTTGGCTCATTGACCATATGTCTGACTATGGTTCTGCTATAGAGCTTAACTTTTAATCTGAAGAAAGAAAACAGTAGTTATTTCAACAGGTGGCTTTTGGGATAGTTGCTTAGGTGAAAGAATAATATCCTATGTTAATAAGGGCTTTATACGTCAGGTATTTAGCTCATTCTTATAACGACCTTATAATGTAGGGCCTCTTATTTCCATTTTGTGAGGGCACTGAGGCACAGAATGCTTGATGCCAGTCCTGCTCAGTTACCTCTCCGACCTGATCACTTTCCATGTCCTTGCTGAACCCTTCTGTTCCAGCTGGCTTCTCTGCTGAATAGGCCAGGTGCCCGCTGCCCCACATCCTGCATGTCCTCTTATTAGAACAATCTTTTTCTCACCAGTCACATTAACTTCCTCTTTGGCTTGTTCAGCACGATAGGGCATCCTGCTGAGGATGTCACAAACATGAGCTCAGTTAATTGCTGCAGTCATACCTGTGGCAGGTAACACGAGGACCCACATGTAGAGGAGGCTGCTGCAGGAGGTGACTGCACTCAGCAGGTGACCTATCCAGGGCATGACTTTGGAGCTCAGGTTCATTGCCTTCGCCCATCACGGAGGAAGCCTCTGCAGTTCCTTTTCTGACTCTTGTGCTACTACTTCCTTGTCTTAGTGACTCACGGGCCACGATAGGCCACTGAGTGGTCTTGCTCTGTCTAGTGTGGAAGTGTCCTGGCTCTCCCCGAAGCCAGGAGCTCCTAGTTCAAGTGCAGGGCTCTCAATGAGGGCTTTGCTAACAGTGTTCCTGGTTGCTGACTGTGTGGTGAAGTCAGCCCTCTACTGTCTTAGTACCTCTGGCTGTTTCCGGTGGGCTACTTCCAAAATAGCACTTGCAGTCATTTAGTCAGAGACCTGCAGATGTGCTTTTATGGAAGAGGTAGATCTATGCAAGGCTGGGTCTGACATCAATCATTATAAGGGAATTTGCTTTCTTTTAATCCATAGTTCCTTTTTTTTTTTTTTTTTAATAGTACTAGTACCAACGCAGGAAAAGTGCTCTCCAGACAAGCTACATCCCCAGCCCTTTCTTTTCTTTTTCTTTTTTTCTATTTTGAGACAGGGTCTCTCTAAATTGCCCAGGATGACCTCAAACTTGCTATTCTCCTGCATCACTCTCCCATGTTGCTGGGATTACAGGCATGCACCACTGTGCCCGGCTTGATAGTTCCTTTTAAAAACAAACCATTCTTTTGTAATTGAATATCATCCTTTGGTTTATTTCTTTGGGGGTTAAATCTGGTCCTGCATTGGATTTGCTCATAGTGGGAGATTCTGGAATTAAGAGCTAACATTAATCATGTTTATAAGTATAACCAAATCCTGTGGGTTCTGTTTGTTTGACAGGATTTTGCAGTTATTTCAAAGTTTTTGCAAGAATCTATTTTAAATTTCAGACATCTCAATAACTTGGTGAAAATCGCCTTTTTTCATGAATCCAAAGCCCTTGCTCAGTTTTTGTTTCTACATTTGTGTTATTTAAAGTTTGGGTGTGGGGTACCATTGTTCTTAATTTTCATAAACCCTAGTTTTGCTAGGAAAGGGGAGGATCAATTGGTACCTGTGGAGGACGTTTGGGTGGGCATAGAGCGAGTTGGGGGACTAGAACTTCCAGGCTTCTCTCCTACACTGTGCCTCTGCTTCATAGAGGTGTTGTGAGAAGCAAAAAGCCAACCAGATCTTGCTTGGAAAAAGGAGTCCAGTAGGACTACATTTGCTTCTTAGGCACGAAGGCTCATCCCAAGTGCATTATTCAGCTCTCCCGTGTCTGGTGTTCTGGGTTTCTCTGAAGTGGTTGTAACAATCAGGTAGCAGAGAAATCTGTTTGCAGGATTTAATTGGATTATGTATGCAAAAATGTAAAAAAAAGTTTGAAAAGTGAATGAAACATTCTATTTGTCTAATAAATATTCTATAAGGTATGAAACGGAACCCTAAAAACTTGGAAGCAATTAGGAGCTTCTGAGCACTTAGAAGGAAAAATATGTGATTAAAAGAGTACATAGTTCTGGCTAGATTTTTGAGAAACTCTTTCAAATGCAACTGTTTCTCAAACTGCAGCCTAAACCAATTCCAGTTATTTTGGTTTGATTTTACTCAATTATGGAATGTTTAATATTTGGCTCTTCTCTATTGGATGGGAGGAATGAATGAAATGGGAAAGGTGAACTTTTGCCTCAAGAAATAATGGCCGTACTCATGACAGATAGAGGATGTTAGCATTTTCTTTACGACGTGGTCTGCTGCAAATATGGCCTGTTCTTGTAAAGACTTAAGGTAAATGAGGTCGATATTAAAATCTGTCTATGCATGGGTTTATTTCCATGAAGTCAGTGCACAAAAATTTCATGCATCAGGGAATGTTGAGCTGTGTAGCTTTCCTTTTTAGACTTTGACATAATCTCTGTGTGTGTGTGTGTATGTATGTGTGTGTCTCTGTGTCCGCAGTGCTCTGCATTTTGTCTTTCAAAGTGATTAGATTGTGTGAGCATCATTTAGGCCATGCAGTGTTTACCTGTGTGGTTTGGTTTATTTCACTGTCAGAGATCTTTGAGTTTGGCACGTTTATAAATAGGATTCCTTCAGTTCCCCTTTTCCTTGCCTAGTTCTGCAGCTTGCTGAGTGGTTAGTTACTGAGTGCTCTGAAGTGAACAGGATCAAAGCTTAAGTTGCCAGGGTCAGGTCATTGGCACAGTGAAGCATCTTGTGACATGGTGACAAGCTCCTGCTTGTTCCGGGTAGGGATGAGCGAGGCAGACTTTCTTTCTTTGTCCTGGGATGCTCCTGAGAACAGCCCTCATCCTGGCTGCAATGACTTCTCCTTTGTTTTGTTTTCTTACTTTTTTTTTTGCGGGGGGGGGGGGGAGAATAAATTGAACCCAGGATCCTTAACTACTGAGCCACATCCCTACCCCTTTTAATTTTTTATTTTTGAGACAGGGCCTCGCCAAGTTGCTGAGGCTGGCCTGGATCCTCCTGCCTCAGCCTCCCTGGAATTACCCTGCTCATAGGTGTTGAACTAGCAGGATTGGGCCAGCTGACAAAGTGATGCATAATAACCATTTCTCCTTCTCTCTGTCCCCCTGTTTTGCCAGGCGGGTGCCCCAGTGATGTCTGGTGCAGGAGAGGGCACCAACCCTGAGAACAGCGAGCTCAAGTATTCAGGTCAAGATGGGCTCTACATAGGCGTCAGTCTGGCCTCACCGGCCGAAGTCACATCCTCAGTGCGACAGGATTCCTGGTGTGCTCTGGCCCTGGCCTGAGCCCCTCCCGCCAAGAGGCAGGGAGGGCTCCACCGAAGTCCTTGCATCTCTTATGTCTGATTTTTGTCCAGCAGCCCAGATGGTGGCAACGATGCAGACAGAACATTCCTCCAATGTGTGATTTCTGTGCCTTTGTTTTGAAAGAGATATATTTCCCCATGAAGCTTGCTAAAAGAATAGAAGATGCGACTCTTCCGGGGAAGGGCTGGTGCAGCAGGAATATGGCCTGCTTCATCTAGCCAGGGCCACCTCCAGCCAGCCTTTCTTTGGGTCAGCTCCTGCATAGCTTGCAAAAACTGGGACGAGGGCCAGGGCCTTGCCTGCTAAGGAAGATGGACAGAGAGTCTTGAAAACAAGGTTTTACGTGCATTGCCCCCATGTGTTTCTTCTAATCGATTTTGGTTATTCCAGAATTTATTCATACCCGTTCCACACGCAGATTTCACAAATGTTCATGGAGAAGATCATTGGAGGCCATTTGGTACACATCCTGGAGGCTGAGTGGGTTCCTGGAACTCTTTGTCAAAATTCCTCAATTTGCAAGGCTGCATAGTAAACTCTAATGTACACTGTGACTGACATTTCTCGAAGTTCATCTTGTGTGACTGATCTGAGGTCAGTCGGAATTTGTAAACAGGGTAGCAAACAAGATATTTTTCTTCCATGTATACAATAATTTTTTTAAAATGTGCAATTTGCGTTGCAGCAATCAGTGTTAAATCATTTGCATAAGATTTAACAGCATTTTTATAATGAATGTAAACATTTTAACTTAATGGTACTTAAAATAATTTAAAAGAAAAATGTTAACTTAGACATTCTTATGCTTCTTGTACATCCACATCCCATTTCTATATTCCCAATAGAAAAACTATTTCAAGAACAAATCTTCTCTCAGGAAAATTTGCCTTTCTCCATTTGTTAAGAATTTTTATACAAGAACACCTACATACACCCTTTCTTTTACTGTGGAATACGTGCTGGAAAAAATTGCAACAAAACTTTACTACCTAACAAATAGCATTTGTAAATATTCTAGGCATCTGTAAACACTCTGATGAAGTCTGTATAGTGTGACTAACCCACAGGTTGGTTTACATTAATTTTTTTAAAAAATGGGATGTCATATTGAAAACTATTTCACCAGAGTTTTAAAAAAAAATAAAAGGGTATTGTTTTTGTCCTGTACAGCGAGTACTTTCCCTTTTACTTCATTTGGATGCTGCATATGGTTATAGAACTTCATATAAAACAAAGGCACGTGGTGTCTGCAAGCTGTCTTTTTTTTTTTTTTCCAAAAATTGTCCTTTGGAAGCTATTGTGTACTTTGGTTTACTTGAAGTTGGCACATGGAGTTAGTTGTCACTTTCCAATTGCACTGGAGACAATTTTATAGGTGAAGAGGACCCACTATTGAATGACATTGTCTGAGATATCAGCATTTTGTTTAGAATCAATGCTTGAAAAACATTTTCCCAAGTCCGGGGTGTTTTTTCCTTGTGAATGAAATAGGCTCCGTGGCCCAAGAACAGAATGGGTTCCTTTATGGTTCCGCTGTTTTGTAGAGAGCCATGAAGTCTCAAAGCTCATGCAAGCTCACAAATGGTCTGAACGGCCTGTTTGTTTTTTCATTGTTGGGTGGATTTCAGGAAATCAGAAGTCAGTTCCATAATACGAAATGGTGGTATTTAACTTGGGCTCTTTTGAATGTGAGGCATTTTGAACTTTTTTTTTCCCATGTATTTATTAGAGCCATTCTGTGAGGTTCAGTCTGAATCTTTAAGGGAATCTTCCTTAATGGGAGATGCCTCTCTATGTTAAGGAATGGTAGGTGATGCTGGTGGCCAGACTTGGGCTGGTGTATGTGCTTGTGTGTGGATCTGGGGATTTCACGGAAATCCACAGACACCCTGCTCTAACCCCAAGGACTAGAACAGTGGTTCATAGTGCTGAGAATGGAATTAGACCTTCAAATCTCTTCAGGGCAATGAACCAGCTCTGTGAACTTGGGCCAGTTGTCCAACTTTCATTTTTCTAATGTTGTAGAATAAGGCAAATGGAGTATAACTCATGGGCTAACCTGAGATAATCCATATAAAGTACACAGTGCCTGGTACATAGTAAGCATGAAGTGTTAACTTGACTTTGGAAGGCAGTGGCAAGAGCTCTCACAATGCGGGTGCTTTGAATAATATCTTAGTCTCAGAAGTTTATGGTCTCTCAGAGTCTAATGTCCCTTAGGTCACCCGCACTTCTTGAATAAGGCTGAGGAGAGAGAAATGAAGGATTCTCTCAACCCAGGGGGTTGGCAGAGTTGGAGGGAGGTTGCCTGAGAGATTCCAGTCTGCCTGGGGCTGATAGTTTTATAGAACAGGGCTGCTCTGACAGCAAAAGAAAATTATTACCCTCATGAACTGATTTTTTTTTTCTTTTCTCTTACGGTTCTTATTACTTTGAGTGCTTTCTGGTGGGTTGGGAGTTGTTAAAGTTAATGTGCTTTGATAAAATTAATATGCTTTGACTGAAAAATGAATTTTTCTGATTGTGGCTTCCAAATAATCCTTTTTTTGGGGGGGCTGGGGGTGGTCTTAACTATTGCTCTTTTCCAATCCTAAGATGTCATTAAATTGCTAAGTCCCCTTCCTTTCTTTTAGAATACAAAGTGAGAAAAATTCTAGTTGTCATGAAATAAATTACAAGAGGCAGAAGAAAGGGAAGGGGCTCTTTTTGTTGTCTGTCCTAATACAACAAACTCTCCTAATCTGGGCCTTTTAAATGACGACTTTCTTACCTGTGGTTGCATAAAGCAAAAGTTCCATAATTGGTTCCAAATATACAATCTCCACACGCCTCCCTTAAAGTATGTCATACAGAAATAAAAACCAATGATCTCTTATGGTGCTCCTTAGCTTAAGAGATCCTTAGACCCATTAGTGTGGGTTACAGAATTTATGTCCTTTGTCACCCTTGGGCTGATGTTAGACCATCTTACATAAGTGAAGGCTCTGTCTGGAGTCTCTCTCTTCAGGGCCACTTAATGTTGCTTCCTGGTTCCTATGGGAGGGTCAGGAAAGCAAAGGGAGCCATTCATTTCCCCCTGCAAATAAATTAACTTCTTGCTCATGGGAAATGTTTTCCTGAGGCCTTGGAAATTTGATGTAATTTCAGATCATAGATAAATTAGCTGCTGGGAGGGCAACTCAGTGGTGGCTCTGCTGGATTCCAGTTTGGGGCCTTGTGGTGGCTTTGGAGTATTAAGTTTTACGGGCCCACATTGTCTACGGGTTCTTGCATCCCAGTGACTCAGAAGAAAATATGAGGGGCTGAGTGTGAGGGAAAGAGGAGGCAGAGAGCAGACTATCATTCACAATCAGGCAGCTCTGGCGAATTTTTGTTTCTGGATTGAATAATAAATCAGTCTGGCAATACTAGTTATCTCTTGTTGCTTGGAGGCCCTAATTAGCAGTCAGGAATTTGATTATTTTATTTTTTTTGATACTGATGATTGAAACCAGGGGCCCTTTACCCCTGAGCTAATCCCAGGTCCCCTTTTTTATTTTTTATTTTGAGACAGAGTCTCAATAAGTTGTTGAGGCTGTCCTCAAACTTTTGATCCTCCTGTCTCAGCTTCCTGAATCGCTAAGATCACAGGAGTGCACCACTATGCCCAGCAGAGTTTGATTATTTAAGTGGGAAACAAATATAGAATAATTTGTTAGACAAAATTTTTTGAAATAGGATCTGTGGGTCAACCTCTGGTACCTCTGGCTGTGGCTACCTGAGGCCTTGCCCTGGATCCTGTGTGGCTGAACCTTTAGCAGCTGGGCTCTGAGCAGGCCGCCTTTGACTGACCTGCAAGAAGATGATAGACATTATAGGACACGGAAGAGAGGAAATAGGAAGTTTTCGTTGGTTCAGCTACAAGATATAGGTAGGCTGAAGGCCTACGTAAGTTCATAGGGACCTGGTATATATCATTTCTAGTCTTCTCAAACAGATCCTAAAGGACAGTTGTTAGCATGCTGCAGATGCATGTTGAACCTCTGAAACTCACATCTGAGTGAGTATCCATGTTCCCCCAAGTATCCTACAGCATCTCCCACATCTGCAGGAGCCAGATGACAGCTGGTACTATACTGTTTTCAGCAGCTGTCATAGGGAAGTAAGTGACTGTTACATAGGTGATATTGCTATTTTAGTTAAAGAGAGATGTATTGGGCTTGGTGGCTTGCTTTGTTTTTTTTTTTTTTTGGTACTGGAGAATGAAACCAGGGTCCCTTTACCACTGAGATGCCACATCCATAGTCCTTTTTATTTTGAGACGGGGTCTTGCTAAGTTGCCCAGACTGGCCTCAAACTTTCCATCCTCCTGCCTCATCCTCCCGGGTTGCTAGGATTACAGGTGTGCACCTCCATGCCTGGTACTTATTTTTTTTTTTAAAGAATGAACGTTTTAAAAATGGTTAAATTATAACAATTACAAATGAAATAATGTTTGCTTAGTAGGAGTGTTTGCATTTCAGTTATTAGTGGTCCCCTCTGTTAAGATAATTATCTAGATATCTAGTGACTTTTGGACAAAGTGTTTCCTCTCTCTGGACCTTCAGACATCCAGCAGTGTTGTCTCAGAAGTTCCTGCCACCTTCCTTTGCATCCCATGGTCCCAAGGCAAATTCTGTGTTTAGTGATGGTGTGTCAAGTGATGTGGTCTGAATTTGAGGTGCCTCATGAGTAGGAGGGAACTGGAGTCTCCTATCTCTCTTCTTGCTGCCTCACCTCCTCAAGAGATGGTCTGTGGAGACCAAGGCCACAGAGGATGAGAGTCCTGGTCATATTCATGAACACGGGGATGGTAAGAAGTGCCATTGCCTCAACACCCAGCCTGTTTGGTCTGAGGCTCCTGATACAAAACATACAGCGATACAAACCCAGACCGGAAAATGGAAAAGTCTAGTAGCACCACAGTCCGTAGAACAAGGAAAAAACAGTTTTGCTTTGCTTGGCCCATTGCTTCAATATCTTGTGGTGGGTTTTT